AGTCTGCTTAGCCAGGAAATGTTTTTGGTATACTTGTAGTTGATGATAGGATCTGTGTTGAAAAAAACGTTAGAGTTTCTATCTCCCACCTGTAAAGTACCATATGCTTCTTTTGGGATAACATGGTATATAGGTAGGTATCTATCTCTTCTTCCTTTTCTTATACCCTCAGTCACATGGCTACAAAGGGTATATATCATTAGGTCAAAACGTACCTCATGGAAATAACGGTTTTAGACTGTTGGTCTCTTTGGACCAAATCCGTTTCAGGACATTTGGCACGATAACTCTCGAAGGGAGTATCCTATCTGTTCCAAATTTGGTACATCGTAATATTATGGTCAAAGTCTTAGATCGAGATCGGAGATGGACAATTTTGCGCCACTCCTTTTGTTAACTCCCAAAATAAAAGGTAAATATTTCTAAAAAAAATTACTGCAAAGAGGGAGAAAGGACACTCCAATATTGCTCCAATTTGTAAATCCTGATATTCGCATCAGTGCTAGGTCAGGTGCGGTCCACTCCCTCAAAAACCTGGCCCACAAAGGGTCAAAATTTCGAAAAGTTATAACTGTTATAAAATGTGAAACAAGATCAATATTTTTGTTAACAAAAGATCTAGTGCGAAGATGGTTATGGTGCGTTATATTCTTTCTGTTACCTCCCACATAATGTGACAAAATTGTGAATAACCATGACGCTCGTAAAACGCGAAATGAGTGTCTGATACTTTTCAAACTTCACACATCTCAATACTTCTACTTAAGCAACATCTGTGTGAAAATGGTAGATATCAGACCTCTCATTTAGGTACCTTCCCCATTAGGAATTAAAATTTTTAATAATTATAAAGTTTATAAAATTTAAGCTAAGAATACGAGTACGCACATTTCAATATTTCCACTAACACAAGGTCTGGTTTGAAGAAGGGATTGAATGGACAACTCCTTCTAGTACCTCCCCCACAAAGGGTCAATATTTGAAATAATCATTAAGCACATAAAACGCGAAGTGAGCATCCGATTACTTTCAAGCTCGGCACATCCCAATACTTCCATCAATACAAGATGTGTTTTTAAAAAGATGGCCAATATCGGAATACTCCTTCTGGTACCTCTCCTACAACGTGTCAAAATTCTAAATAATTTTAACTCCCATAAATCGCAAATTTTTCGAAATATTATCAAATATCTCATATAAATCATCTCAGACATATGTCAGATACGAAATGGAAAATATTGTCCCACTCGGAACCTCTCCTACAAAGGGTCAACAGTTTGAATAATCACAACGCAAATCAAAGTATATTAAAATAAATGAACATTGGCTGATGGTTTGCAGCTGTCGGCAATACCGACTGATTCCATTTAACTTGTTAAAGGTCACAGTAGTTAGGAACACTATTATCCCATTTTGAAGTCAGATCAGTATCATATCAGATACTGCAGTGGCCAGTAAGTATGTCTACCGCTATTCTTAGATCAGACCTACTAATTGATAGAAAAGGGCTTGTTTCTTTCTCGAGATTTTCGCCTAGATGGCCTTAGATATCCAGCAACTGGTCTTTAAGTGCCATCTTCCAGCTTCTTGGACGTGCGATTTTTGAAGCAGCCGACATAATAACTTATTATTGGTTGAGATGACCAAAATTTCCGCCTGAAAAAACGCTGGAAATATCATTAAGTTTATATGAGTGTAAGTTTGAGCGACTACTTCAATTTCGTAGCTAGCTTGGCGACAAATTTCGTTAATTACCAAAAATATGAGCAATTGAAAAATAACTGTTATCGATAAATGTCGTTCAATTTGTCGTGAAATAGTTACAGAATCGCTCCGAATGTATATATACAAGTCAATATCTTTTTGTCTATCAACAGAAAGGCACCTCGATTTTCCGCGTTCAACAATACTGCCATCGGTTATAAAGGTATATTTCCCGTTCAGATGACATTTCCTTCCGGACTAAGTTCGCATAAAATATTTCATATATTTATCTTGAATTTGTATGTTCAAGTTTATGGATGTGGAAACATTATGAATTCACTGAATAAACACAGACAACATATTTGTTGTTGTCTTAAGTTTACAAGAAATGAAAACATCATAGTTTTGCCTACGGGCCTCAAATAAAGACGACTTCTTATCACACACTCACTGGCACACTTACACACACACACACACACACACACTTACATATCCTTTATGTAAATAAATAATTTTCAGTTATTTGTGTTAAAATCTTTGCAAGGATAATATTTACAAAAAATAAAATCGTTTTTTTGTTTCTTCTTCCTCCTTTGAGAACATGAGAAAGTTTTTCTCCTTCACGCTGTCGTTTGTTGTTTCACTCAATTGGAAAGTTTTATTGAATATAACCACAACGATGTGTTTTATGTTGACAATATGTGGTGGAAGGATGTGGGACAAGGTTAAAAAAGAAAAAAACAACCAACAACTGGGAAGTATTCGAAATTTGCAATAATTTGATAACAAATAAATGTGATGATATTTACTGAAATTATACTAACACACTAATACCCACCGAGAAAATAATTTTAATTTAGGTTTTGGGAACACCTAGCTACAATTACTCCGTCTCTATGAATTGAAAACTAAATATTAAATAAAGTTTATCAATCTGTAAGAACAGCTTGTACAAAAAAAATTCAAATATGTAAGCTATGAGATAAGATTTGAAAACATTTGACACATCAAAGATGTAATTTTGTTGCAAACATTTACAAAGAATTACTGGTGTAGGTGAAATGTAATCTCTGTCATGTGAGTGTCAGGATAGAGAAGTATCAACTTGATTGAATTAATAATTATGAATATATTTACGTAATCAAAGGAGTTTTGATTCAATATAGCAGCAGAGACAAGGATTAAAGACACATGGACATTTTGAGGACAGAATGAAAATTGGCAAGGGAGGTAGGGAAATGTTTATGTTTTTTACATTTTATATAGAAGCAGGTCATTAGGGTTTAAAGACTTGATTCCAAAGACACAAAATGGCTCATATTTTAATCAAAAATAAAAACAAGTAAAATAGTATTAGTCAGTTTTTGCCGACAGATGTATACCCCCAGCCTTGAATTATGATTATTCAAACTCTTGACCTTTTATGGGGGAAGCTCCGAAGCAGTTGGGCAATATTGACCAATTCGTATCTGACCTAAGACTGATAAAAAATATTACAAAAAAGAATCGCCGACTTGTTTCGCAAGTTATGACAGTATTGGAAGTTCTGACCCTTTGTGGGTGAGGTACCAGAATAAGTTGACAGATATATATCATATTCACAATAGATCTTAGTTCCGCAAAAATATTTCTATGTGTGAAGTTTGAAGAGAGTTGGCTGCTTATATCACTTTCATTGAGCGTTTTGTTTTTCAAACTTTCGAACCCTTTGTGGGGGAGGTACCGGAATAGATGATCCAATCTGTGCCATCTTTAAAGCAGATGTTGTGTCGAAGGAAGATGTACCAAATCTGAATGGAATTGGATGTTAATTTCGTGTTTAATGGATTTCATTGATATTCAAAATGTTGACCCTTTGAGGGAGAGGTAACAGAAGGAATTGACCGATATATTCCATCTTCATAAAAGACCTTGGGTTAATAAAAATATTGCTATGTATGTAATTTGAGGACAATCGGATATTATATCACCTTTTATAAGTGTTAAAATTATTTAAAATGTTGATCCTTTGTGGGGGAGGTACTTTATAAAGTGGATCGATATTGTCAATTTTCGCACGTGACATAGCACTGATGAAAATATCAGGATTGGCAACGTATTAGCAAAATTGGATTATCCTTTCACTTTCTGTGCAGTAAATTAATTTGTTTGTGGATCGATATTGCCCGTCTCCGAACTCGATCTAGGTTTGACAATAATACTTCGGTGTAGTAATACTCTCTATGAGAGTTATCGTGCGTACCAGCCAGCCAGCCAGACCGACGGACGGACGGACATAGCTATATCGACTCCAAATTTCCTGAAACTGATTAGGTACAAAGAGACCTAGGGTCTAAAACCGTTATTTCGATTAGGCACGTTTTGGCCGTATCAAATGATATATATACCCTCTCTAGCTATATGACTGACGGCATAATTATATGGAATCTGAATCTGTCTTTGGGACAAATCTTATTAGAAAATATATTAAATTTTTTTTAATACCGACATCGGTTATTTTTTTCTGTCGATCAATAGTCTTTTTCAAAATAAATTCAAATTCGAACTTAAACTTTAATCACAATTTAAAAACTTCAAACTTCTTTTTGAACCTATCACTCTCGCCTTTCCCCACTAAGTCCACCCATACATCTTTCTCATCGCTGCCATCCCTTCAACTTACCCTTCCACATCTATGCCGAGGCATGTGTGTTGGATTTTTTCTATTAGTGTGGCAGGCATATCAATGCATCATTGCTTGTTCGCCTGTTTGACATCAAACCGCGCGAATAGTGATGGCACATGAGACAGGCGAGAGTTTTGCGATGCCACTGCTGGCGGAGATGAGAATGCATGCAAGTGAGAGTGAATGAGTGAGTGAGCGAGTGAGTGAGTGAATGTTTGACGGCAAATTAGTCAACAGCAAGGAAATGCTGGAAATGTTGGTGTGCTGGGGATTTGCCTGCGTGCCTACAAAACTTTTGCAACGTTATCATTTCCTTTTCAATGCTATTTTATGGGGGCCTTTGCCAGTGTTAGGCAAAGAGGCGTAAAAACTGTGGCAGCATGCTTTGTGAGAGGAACTAAAGAAAACCGCATCAACGCACACGCACACGCACACGCACTCTCATACACACATATTCTTTCTTTGGCACAGCAAAAGTTGAGGAAGCATTCTATGCCGATAGACAATAAAATATGTCTCTAGTTTTAAGCTGGCAAAGTTTATGGTTCGGCATCATAGAGGAAATTTAAAATTCCAGTTAAATTTGTAATTCCAAATAAAATTTAAATTTTTATTTTCATTTCGCTTTCAGAGATCCATATCCCAGCTATGCCGATGACGATTATGATTACTATGGCTATCGCCAACGATCACCTCAATATCATCGTCAGCAACAAATGCAAAGTTATCATCCTCCACCCCCCTCCGCCAACACTGCTGTACAAAAGCAAAAAGAAGAAGGCAGTGAAATGAATTTCATCACCATTTTGAAAACAATCAAGGCTATGTGGGATTTGTATCAGTCATTCATTTCAGCATGGAATTCCATGGCCGAGCATCATAATAGACAGGAGGAATTGAATAAACAAAAATTTCAAGAACAGCAGCAAAAGTTAAGAATCAATTCAAAGAAACCGCAAAAGATTGAGAATAGAAAGAAACCAGAAAATGCCAACAAAAATCCCAAGACAAATTCCAAACAAACGACAACCAAAGGACCTTCAACAAAGCTCAGCACAACAACATTAGCTAAGGTTGAATCCTCCAACGAAGATGAAGCAGAAAATCAAGAAGCCACACTGAAGGTGAAACAAATGAATAAGGCTAAAGTTGAGCCACGTAAGGCATCAAAGGGTGAAAAGCTGGCGATCACTGAAGCGGAAGGCCTACGAACTAAAAGGCAGACACCCAATGCGTCCACAGATGTGGGTGAAGGTCGTTACATCAAAGGTGATCCTTTGAAGGGATACTACGATTTTGTCATTACTGAGGGTTCATATAAATTCTGGGCCGTATTTCAGGTGAGTCGATATTTTGTGGAAAAAATTAAATTTGTGTGTGTTTTTTTTATCAAATCTACAAGAGTGATTGAAGGTTTCAGAAAGAATTTTCCTGAAAATGGTATTTTTCTTATAGCTTTGGGGCTAGTGTCAATTTATGTGTTAAGGAAACACTTTTTGGAAAATAACCTCTTTATGGATGATATATAAAGAGCGTCTTTCAGTATATAACTCCTTAAAAAAAATATTAAAGACAACATAAAATACATATATTCTTGCTGAGCATAATATTCTGTGTAGATTTAGATTTTTGAAAATGGGTCACATATGGGTCCACGATTTGCTTAGCCTTCATATAACGGAACGACCCTATAAAACGTATTTTCGAATTTGATAAAAATCGGCTGACAAAAACATCCTTGCAACCTTGGGAACATTCCAGTTCCATTCCAACGAAACAATATTGACATTTTGAGTTCACTCGTTAATAATAATAATCAAACGATCGGATTATCATAAATAATTTTGAAAAATAATTTTAAAAATCCGAAAGTCAATCAATTCTTTATGAACCAGAGTAAAATGCGAGTGGTTTGTGCCTTGGTTACTATAATACTATTTATCTTCACGACCATTAATAATAGTGCTCTGGGACTCAAATCCTGCTCTATAACAAAATTAAATGAAAACTCGTTTAAAGGGTCTACATTCAAATTATATTTTCCTAAAACAAAAATCCAGGTATTTTTCATGTTCGGAGGCTTTGATTCTATAAGATTATGGTTTCATTATCGAAATCCAAATATTTAAATATTTTATTTTTTGAATGGAGTATTTCCTGGAAACATCTTCAAATAATTCATCCATGTTAGGTTTTCAAATTGAATCCTAAATTCAGATTCTAATCGAATTTGTAATCCATTTACTGAAAATGATAAAATCGGATGTTTTCAATGAAGTATAAAAATATAAATTCAATTATTTGCGTTATCACAAATTACATAAAGAAATAAGCGTTGACATAATCCGTTCACACCTGCTAGATTTTACGTCAGTACGATATTGAAAAAAAAAAAAAACATGTAATGATGTATTGAATAACCTAACAATTTCCAATTGTATTCTTCGAGCAATGGGTTTACGTGATTAACTCCCGGTAACTGCTGCATCGCATCCGACACAATAAGTGACAATTATTGACGCAGAAAACACCGACATCTGATGTGACATTATTCACACGCACCTCCCCCGTTCGTTTGTCAAATATTATCACTCATACGCACGGTCCTCGGTGCCGAGTGAGTTGTGTAACAATTTCAAAAATCAAATATGAAATACATACGGATTTCTTCTTTCGTTTTTGTTTCGCCATTGTTTGACTCCTGCTTTTCCGACACATATTTCATAAATCTTACATTGACCTGCTTCTGCCGGTCTGCCATTGTTGCTCCCCTCTTATATATTGTGTTTATTCTTGGAACTGATTTGCTTTTGCCATTCACATATTATGTTGTCTGCTTGGATGTGTGTGTGTGTGTGTGTGCGTGAGTGAGTGTGTGCCTGACAAAATGAGTGAATGTCTGAATGCGCACACAGCTGCAGTGGATGAAAAACGTGAAGTATGGTCAACACTGATTTGTGACTTGTTGTGAAAAGTAGAAAAGAATGTCAGGTGCCAAGTGTTATTTAACAACTGTGGTAACAGGAAAAAACAATAGCTCCGTAACAACTACAACAACAGCTACATACTGCTCACCAACCGCTTTGGTGGGAGCAAAAAATTGAAAAAAAAAAACAACTGCGTTGCTGTGGGTGATGAGTGATACATCACCTAGAACTCTGCCAGAGAGTTGAACAGCCAGTTCTCCTGTACACTAGTTCAACTCGCTTCATGCTCGCATGCTGTACAGCAACAGAAACAGTAGCAACAACCACAGGCCACCGCCATCCAAAGTAATAATTATTTTCGTGGTTGTTGTCAGTTGTCATATAAATTTTTTGGTCGGTTCGGTCATTGAATTCTCTTTTGCTTTTCGCTCTGTTTATGTCAGCCTGGATGGCGTTTTCATGAGTTGTCGCCATTTAAGCGTAGGGGATTGGGTAAAGGATAATACCTTTGGTTAACTACTGTCATCGCACATATATTTCTTCAAAGGCAAAAGAAGAAGATGGAAATTTAATAAAAGTAAAATGGTATTGAACTATAACTTGTCATAAGTTGTCGGTGGCTGAGGGCAAAGAAAATATGTTTAGAAAATTGTTCATTATCAATTATAAAATGAAGGCGAGTTGGCAGAAAGTTGATATTAATATGCGGAGAAGATCAGGTTAGGTATTGTCGTGAGGGGTACTTGTTAGAGCGAATATCATAATAAATCATAATATACCTCTTTTGTAATATACCGCACAAAGGCGTTTTTAGTCGAATTTCTAATATAAGGAATATTGGCTCATATTTGGAAATGGAATTTTAAATGAAAAAATTTGTAACAGCACTCACAAAGTGTACATCTCTCCATTCTCTTTTTTTTTTTTGAATTTCTGACTTTCTTTTCCGTAAACTCTTATGTCTTTGCAGTTTAAATGCATCTGAGTACATCTTAATCTACTCAGAATCAGATTAACTCTTATGTATTATACTGTTGTACAATTTTTTTTTTCATTCCTTTCATTTCATTTCTTTCTATCGATTCCATTTCATTGTAGGTTGGCACGGCTTTATTGATTATTTATTCAACATTTGCTGCTATTTACTATTCAAAAGTAAATCCTCTTGTAAGTGATTACGATTACACGGATTACTTGGGGGGTGCACGCTCCTTATCTGGAGGCGATCTGGATTTCGTTGACGATGAGACGGCTGAAAACGGTGTAAAGCAATCGAAAGGATGGCTCGATTGGTTGCCACGAACAGGTCATTCACTGAAGTTCATTCTGGATGCCATAGATAAGCTGCCGGTGGATCATGATGTCATCGCCGAGGAAGCCAATGGCGGTGGCAATGTCGAAGAATGGTTGGATAATACAACGGTCAAAGAGGAATCAGATGAAAGCCCGAACAACAAGGCCATGTAAATTGAATAAACGTTTATGACATGAGAACAAGAAAAAAAAAAATGAAAAAGAAATCCGAATGAAATTATTGAATTGTGTGTCATTGTATTTTTTTCAAGGCATCAGGAAAAGGTTTGTAATTTCTTAGTGTCTCTTTTTTTTAACGAAAATTACCCTATAGTTTCCATTAGTCGTGGTTTTTATTCTTCCTGTTGTTGTTTGCAAAATTACAATATTTATCAAGACTTTTATTTTATTTTCACATATTGGCATACAACAAGGCCCCGCACCACAGTTATAAACTCAACTTCAGTTGGTGTTTGCCGCCAACTTTTTAAATGTTTTTTAAACTGTTTGGCCTTTTGTGGGCATTACTGCAGCGCTGTCTGTCTGGCCGTTGGTTGGTTGCCTGCCTGACTGGGTGCTTGAGCTGGCAAGTTGACTGACTGGCAAAAAGGAAATGTTTACATAAAAATATGTTTATGCTGAATTAAACAGTAAAATTTATTTTTTAATTAAACCAACATTAATGGAGTGTTTTTGTTCGCTTTGAATTGCAGCGGAATGCACTCAAAGTGGACTTTACATTTTCAGTTTGAATGAAATCCGAGTTTTTAGTTTTATGTTATAATATTTGTATCCTACATGAGGAATTGATTTCGAATTAATTCAGGATTTGTTATCTATGAACGTAACATGCATCTCATTTGGTATTTGTGGTCTTTTCTCTAGAAAAAAAAAATCGACTAAGTTCAATAAAATGTTCAAGATTGGTCATATTTATATTTAATATAATATATTTTAGTATTAACTTCCAAAATTGATTTTTGATATTTCGTTATGGATAAAAGTATGCAAATATCCTGTGAAGGATCCTTGGATAGCATAACCTATTTTTAAACCAGTAAAGAAAGTCCTAAAGTCGGGCGGGGCCGATTTTATGATACCCTGCACCACTTTGCTAATTTAGTTCAGCTCCACATAACAAGTAAAAGTTTTTATGGGAGAATTCAATCAAAAACCCTATGATTATAATTATAATTTAAAATTTAAAGGACTAAATACGCCGAAGCATTTGTTTCTTTTAAATTCGGACTTGTATTGCCCATTTGGTGCAAAATTAATTCTAAATCAGATAAAGATATATATGGGAGCTAAATCCAAATCTGAACCGATCTCGATAAAATTTGGCAAAGATATTTCTGAGCTGTATTTGATATATTTCCCTGAATATCGTTGTTACGGAGTGCATATTACGGCTGTGGGTAACAAATACAACAAATCGGATGAACAATATATATGGGAGCTATAGCTATATCTGAACCGATCTTCACCAAATTTTGCATACTACCTTCTAGACTCAATCTATGTGCCAAATTCCATCCCATTTGGGCGAATATTAGACGTTTGGTGCACAATAAAAGGTAAATCGGACGAAGTTATATATGGGAGCTATATCCAAATCTGAACCGATTTCGATAAAATTTAGCAAAGGTATTTCTGAGCTGAATTTGATATATTTCCCCAAATATTGTTGTTACAGAGTGCATATTACGGCTGCGGAGGACAAAAATAACAAATCGGATGAACAATATATATGGGAGCTATAGCTATATCTGAACCGATTTCCAAATCAAATTTGGCATGCTTATTTTTAGGCCTAATTTGGTTGCATGTGCAAAATTCCATACTATTCGGGCTGATATTACACGTTTGGTGCACAATAAAAGGCAAATCGGACGAAGATATATATGGGAGCTATATCTAAATTTTTACCGATTATCTCCAATTTCAATAGGGTTCGTCCTTGGGCCAAATAAATGTTGTTTGGAAATTTTCATCTCAATCGGATAATAAATGCGACCTGCATTTTGTTCACAAAAATACATGGACAGACGGACGGACGGACAGACGGACTGACATGAATAAATCAACTCAGAAAGTGATTCTATGCAGATCATCAAAAGGAACTATGGGTCTATCTCGTTTCCTTTTGCCTGTTACAAACAAATGCACAAAGACATAATAACCTGACCACCTTGTGGTGTAGGGTATAAAAAAACTTAAATGAGTAGTTTTTCACATTCCATATGGCTAGAGTGGGTATATGCCATTTTTTAGTCCCTAGGTCTCTTTGAACCAAATCCGTTTCAGAACATTTGTCTGTCTGCTGGTTGGTCAGCACAATAACTCTCGAAGGTAGTAACCGATTTGGTTCAAATTTGGTACACAGTACTATTATTTTTAAACTGAGATCGAGTTCGGAGACGGGCAATATCGGCCCACTCCTTCTGGTACCACCCCCACAAAAGTACAAATTTTTCAAAAAAAAAAAAAAAAACAAAGAAAAAATATTTTACTGCACAGAAAGAAAACGCATGGTGCGATTTCGTCTCATCTTGCAAATACTAATATTTGCATCAGTACTAGGTCAGGTGTGAAGACACAATATATCAGTTCACTCCTTCTGATACCTCCCCCATAAAAGGTTAAATTAATATCCGATTCCATTCAGACTTGGTACATCTCAATATTTCCATTAAAATAAGATCTGTTATAAAGATGGTGGAGATCGGACCATTCCTTCTGGTACCTCCCTCACAAACGGGCAAAGTTTTGAATAACCAAAACGATTATAAAATTCGAAATAAGCAGTCGGTTCTCTTCATATTTCGCACATCACAATATTTTTATTAAACTAAAATCTGGTGTTAAGATGGGATACATCTATCCACTTGACCCCACAAAGGGTCAAATTTTTGAATATCCATGAAGCTCATACAACGCAAAGTTGACATTCGATTAAATTTAGACTTGGTATATCTCAGTTTTTCCATCAACACAAGATCTGTTATAAAGATGTTAGAGATCGGATCATTTCTTCTGGTACGTCCCTACAAAGAGTCAAAGTTTTGAATAACCCAAAAGAATAATTGTAGTTTTTATAAAAACAACGTTTGTTTACCAGGGGTTAGGCAGGGAATAACTAGGATTTAGAAAGACCCATCACTAATATAAAAATATCTTTTAGAGGATCCTTGGATAGCATAACCAATGTAAAAAATTGAAACTTTAATAAGTAGTTTTAACATTCTACGAAAAAAATATTATTATAATATTATAAATTTGATTTCCTTAAAAGTACGATTCATAGGGCATCATACATTCTGTCTTGTCATCTATATCACTCTTGGACATGTAAAGTGTTCCTTGTATGTTAATGCCAAAATCGACAATTAAAAAGTTCTTTTCCATTTTGAATGGTCGAACATGTATGTACTCGTCGTTTGGTTGTAAGTTGCCGATATGTGGGCACTTTATCCCTCCTTATTCATCAAATGGTTGATTTCATTTCCAAGTGATTTGATCCTCTGGCCGCTGGTAATGGTTCCATTGGGAATAATAGCTGTTCGAAGGACTCTGACATATGTGTGCACGTATGTATGTATTTTCAATTTCTTGCTTTACCGCATTTAATTTCAACTTCAGTTGTTTTTTTGTTCCTCTTACAGATTTTTTCGCTTATTTCCCTTTCCACATAGATTTCGATGTTAATCAATTTGATTTTTTATATCTGTTTTTTTTGTTAAAAAGGAATTACAGTAGACTTAAAAAACAGTTTATATCTGTTCATATTCCTTTTGCTGGTTGGCTGCTGGTATGCCTTTTGTGTGCTTTGTCGGATGCCCATTACCCACTTTTTCAATCTCACAAACATCCAATACAAAGAATTTTAATTAAAATGTTGTATTTTTTTTATTAAAAAAGAATCCGAAAAGGAGAATTACTTTGTTTGTTTCTGGGTTTGGCAGAGTGGAGAAGCCTTGGAAAAGAGTATCAATGAATGCCTCCATTCTTTTTTCCTTTTAGACTACAGCAGGCCAAATATCATAAATTCGAAAATTGGTCAAAGAAATGCTATGCGTTGTGCGTTTAAAAAGAAAATAAAAATCACAAATCATAATTGGTAGTTATTTTACAAACAAAGAAATCAATTAACAACAAATTACTTTTGTTTGGAACAGAGATTCTGGGGAGAAATGTGTATTACTTTTTTGTGGGAGTGAAGTAAGAAAATGCGACAATTTTGTCTGCCAGGTAGTCTCATATAAATTCTCATATATATTCTCAATATATTTGAGAAAGAGGTAACGAGTTTATAGTTACATCGCTAAATCAGCAAATTTATTTAGCCTTTATTTAAAGTTTAAATTTTTTCTCAATTAAAAAAATCCACAACCCCTTCAAAATTACCTGTGCCATTCACCTAATTGCTTCCCTTCCTTTCTTATCTCTAAAGAAGTAATTAAAGCTCATTAATCAGCCGCTGCGTTAATTCCCCGGGGAAATATTAAAAAAATAAACAAATGAAACAACTTGTAATTCCACACTCTCGAATTTGTTGAGTTCATAAACATTAATTCAAAGGTAATAACTTTGTTTCCTTGAAGCCATTTTCCCGTACCGCCACTGCCGGTCGCTTATGAAATATCAACATGATGCACGTGTCATTTATTTTGTCTTTAGTTCGTTCATTCGTTCGCTCGGTCATAAATTATATTCGTTATTTTATTTTTAATTTGTTTCAATCAACTTTAATACATTTACGTGACTGTGTGTGTGTGCGAGTGAGTGTCAGGTCGCGCTTGCCAGAGAGGGAGAGAGAGAGAGACGTCGTTATTAATTTATGCCTTTTACGTAAAATTCCTTTAAGCAATCCTCCAATACTTCATTCCTTAAATGTAAAAATAATTTTTAATCGCATTTAAGCAACTTTTCACCAGCACAACCTCAATCCAACCGCACGCACACTCACACACACATACGCCAACAGTACGATGCCGATCATTGTACCATGCCAAATGTGCGGCAAGTCTCTTAACAACATTAATAAGCACAACAAGCATACGTACAACATGCAGCATATTTATGCCCACACACACACGCACGCACACACGGCCAGAGAGGACTACACAGTCTGCTGCGAATAAAACAATGGCACAGAAAAACCTTTTCAGCCATAATCATAGCATTACACATAATTTGATGTACATGGATGTGTGTGTGTGTGTGTGTGTGCGTGCG